TTAAAAAGTAAAAAGGAGAAAGTGACATACTTAAAAACATATAATTTATTTTTGCTAATTTATAAATGGGAAAACATCACACGACAAGCTGAGACTCCTTTCAATTAGGCAGCACAGTGTGTTGCACAATCAAGATAGGATGACCAACCTTGCAGAACTGATTTTTAGGGACATATCATGTTTGTAATTCAAAGTAGCCCATGCAGTAACAATACAAAATATTCTACATATTTAATTTGTCACCTATTTAAAACTGCAGAAATCTTAATTCGTATATTCTCTTCTCTAAAGGTTAGTCCTAACTCTGCTGCTATTAAATGTAGGATTTTCACCATTGCTCAATATCAAGACCAAATTATATTGCAGGTGAAAAATACTGCTTATATATAAGCTCTAACAATTAAAATACATAACACGATCTGGAAAGGAGGATAGTTTGGTGACATTCAGCATCCTGTTCCAGGCATAAGCACATTGAAAGGACTCGTGGAAAATTTCAGAAAACAAAGGACAATATCTCATCAGTATTCTGTTAAGATTTTCAAATCCCCAGATTATATATATATGATAGGCCAGTTAGGCTCTTTGTTTAATGGTGCTGAGAAATTAGGGAGCTAAGGCAGGTTTCTGCTTTATAAAAGGGCATATTCTGTATGTGCAGGAAGGATTTACAAGAATCAACTAATAGGATGATTATTCAAGAAAGCCAAACTTGGAATTCCATAATATACAGAGAGCTTGAAAGATTTTAATACTATATTTCAGTTTATTTTAGCCTAATCCAAAAGCAGAGCAGAAAGGTTTTCGTCTCCTCTCTCCTCTCCCCTCCTCTCCCCTCCTCTCTCCTCCCCTCCCCTCCCCTCCCCTTCCCTCCTCTCCTCTCCTCTCCCCTCCTCTCTTGTCTCCTCTACATCAATCTCATTTTTCAGGACTCTCAAATGCAAGCTTCATGTTCACTTCAAAAAAGACAAAATCACAGTATGTGTTGAAATAATATATGTTACTCACTTTGATTTTTACTAAAGTGTGGGCAAAGCTTGATTCAGAAAGTTTTAGACATGTAATGCCATCTCAGAGCAAAAATCAGAATCCCATTAATTAACAAACCTTTAGGCCCTGCAATGATGAACATAAGTACTCAGGGCAGGATTAGCTTTTGCCCTCCAAGCAGATTTGGCTCTAAATCCTCCCCTATTAGACTGTTCATATTGAAATGTCATCTGTTCCATACTTTCAAGGTACAATTTCATGAAGATGCTATTCCTGCCTTGAACCAGAAAAAAATATGTTGATCACAGCTACTCTCTTCTTCTGTGCCTGAACAGTGGCAATTGGCCTTTTTATGATCACTAAATAATAACATTTCTGCACAGCAGAAAAATTTAAAATATGGCATGATAACAGTTCTCCATCTCCCACACAACAAATCTTCTTTGCATTGCACTGCATCAGCAATAGACTAACTCCTTCATTCAGACAAGGAACTCCAGAGACTAGTGATGAGGATAATCCGGGATTCTGGAAACACTCCAAATTGAGCAGAGATACAGACTGCTCTTTTTTTTTTTTAGCAAGAGATAGGATATGACAGAGCCTATGTCATCTATCACTCTCTCCCCACAAGGAAAAGCAAGGCAGGTTTGAATACATGCAAGGAATTTAATGCATAAAACAAAAAGCTTGAGCAGAGTTTTTTGGTTTATCTATTTTGTGGTTTGGATTTTTTTGCACACAATTCACTATTAACAGAAGGAACTCACTGCCACAAGAATCATTAACCCCAAAGACCTGAAGTTATTCCTAACTGAAATAGAGCCACATTAAATAACAAAAGCATGCTGAAGTAAGAAGAAAAGGAGAGGAGAGGAGAGGAGACGACACGAGAGGAGAGGAGAGGAGAGAAAAATGCCCCACAAAAAAAAAAAAAAAAAACAAGACAGGACAGACTTTCCCTCAAGCCAGGAGTAGGTTCCTGTCTCTCTACTGATGCCCTCTGGGGAGCGCAGAACTCTGTTGTGCAAGGCAGAGTGATGTGACAAAATATTTGTCAAATGGACAATCATTCCAATAACTGAATTACTGCATTATTTCTCAATTTTCCCATCATTGGTGCTTATAAAACATGTTAGGACGTATCATTAAACACTGTTCTTAAGGAAACTCCTTCTGTGCAAAAAAAAAATTAAAAAAACCTGACTATCCCACAACCCCACACCGCAAGTCCCCGAAGAAGCCCTCAAAATGACCACAAATCACTTAAAACCTTCAACAGAATTTGGTAGTATTGATTCCTGAGCTGCCCCTCTGAACAAATGCAGACTCTTTTCCCTGTGATTTCCAACTAATATGTTGTTTAGGTTTGGACCATCAGACAAAAAAATTACCTGCAAATACTGACACACTGCAATGTTTTATGGCTGTTCTACATACCAGCTGGAACATAAAATCACTTTTGTATTAGCATTTGTTATGATAACTGTAAAAAAGAAGTTTGAACTTGCTCTCTCTCAAGTTATATCATTTAAAGAAATTCTTTGATTGTAACAAGTAGGAGAGAGACAAACTAACATTTTTTTTCTCAAGCAAAACTTTCTGAGGAAATATTTTATCCTTCTCAGAATGCTAAGAGCCCTTTATTATTTAGAACCTCTGATATTCCCTTCCAAAATGTCTCTCAAAGTAATTCACAGCCTCTGTGCACAGGGTAGACACTTTCCTCATTCAGAGGTGGATTAGATGATGCTCTGGCCACTATTTTCATAGCTGGATATTTAGCACTAAATGAACAGCCACAGAGCAATTGTTATGGTCCAAGGCTTTGAGAAAATCCCTGACAGCTTCTTCCAATGGCGTAATTTGCTCTTCAGTGGATTGCAATAATTGAGAGGTTCCTGTAATCTTTTTCCTGTAGCCCATTCTGATGATCTTCATGGCAGTGGCATTTAGCTTAATAACCAGGGAACAGGAACCTGGGGAGGATTTCTTTGTACCTGGGTCTCAAGTGCCATAATCAGGTGTTTGTCAAGAAGGAATCGCTAAGGTCATTCACTTCTCCTTTCCTCCTCCTGGCTACTTTTTATTTCTTACTTGCACTTTACTTCTGTCTCACTGGGTACACAGTACCTGTTTTGGTTAACAGGATTAAATGTAATCCAAATTTTCCTCTCACCTTTCCTAAATGTGACCTTCTTTGATGATATCTAATGCCTTCATTTGAACTTTATCTCCTTTCTTTCTTGTGAGAATTCCATCCCTTCTTTGCTCTCTTTGCTCTTTCTTGCAACTCTGATAGAATTTTTATGGTCTAGTTTGAATTGCTTTGTATTTTTTTCAGTGAATTTATCTACACTCTAAGACCTTCCACTTTCTCCTTTACTATAGGAATCCACTCAATTTAATATTCCACGTGAGCTTCATGACTTTTGGGAGCACTGCATAGACCACACCCTGGATTGCCTTAAAAACCTTGATAGCCAGTTGGTAAAGTTCCTCTTCCTCCTTTTAGTAAGCTTATCACCTGTAAATGAAAGGACTTTTCTGCACTGAGCACATACTACTTTACTGTCTCCGGTTCACTCTTGAGTTCACAAAGTTTCTTCGAAGTTATTAACTTTAATACGTGTTGCCTCTGAGTATCTACTCCAGCTGCATCCCAAGTTCAGCCTTGCTCCTTTTTTGCTCGGGCTACTTCTCTTTTTGAGGGTTCTAATCTTCAAGATACATTTAGTTGTCTAGGTCAGCCTAAAAATAAGCACTTAATAAGTTGTTTATGTTATATGTTTATGTATTATGTTGTATGTTAGCAGCGTTAAAATAAACAATCTCCCCCATAGAGTTTTATTACATAAACATGATCAAGACTGTAGCATCTGGGAATGGAATATCACAAGTAATATTTGAAAAGGAGGAATCTACTGTGTGCATTTTGTCCAAATTTCAGTCAAGAATTTAAATTGGTATTTCAATAGCTATCAGAAAAAATTATATTATTAGGATGAAATTCACCACTGGGAAGAAAGCCAGCATAAGACCTCAACAACGCTCCCATCTCAATTAAGCACTCAGAAAGTAAATGATGACCAGGTCTTATGCTAACATCCTACCTGGGGATTAATTAGATCATGAGGTATTAAACTTTATCCAAGTGAATTTCTCTTCCAAGTGCAGTGTGGATATTCATGTAAGCATTCACTGTGCTGAAGTAGTCTCTGGGATGGGGCTGATTTCAGTTGCTTTTAATGTCCACCCCTCAGAGAGTCATCTTGCCTCCCTTATGGAGAAAAACAAGCACTTTTGAGATATGTGCCATGAACTGTGCCTGAGAAGTCTGTTCATCTTCACTGACTTTTAAGAAGCATAGAAACCAAACCTGTCTGTGGACAGCTGCTACATCCACAATAATTCAGTCAAAGTGTATCCAAACATGCAGTTATTCAGCTTCTCGCTTTGACAAACGCAGAGAAAAAATCAAGTGTGACATAGACTGTGGACAGCTGCTACATCCACAATAACTCAGTCAAAGTGTATCCAAACATGCAGCTATTCAGCTTCTCGCTTTGACAAACCCAGAGGAAAAATCAAGTGTGACATAGGTGGAGGACCAGAGAGAAAAAAAAAAAAGACCTGTAATCCATCAGCAGATTTTTCATTGCTCCTTAATTTACCTGTTGTTGCCCTTAATCTATTTGGCCTACACATCTTGGTCTACCTCCAAAAATATTAAAGAGAAAAGTTTGCTTAGTTACTTATTTTGTATAAGGTTATGTAGCTCCTCCTGTGAATATAACATTGGTGAGCGCTTCTCCTGCAGCCCTGTTTGCTTAAACAGAGGTCTGGGTTTTATGCAGCTACTCCACCTCTCCTAGGGCAGCTTTGAGCCATACCCCAGCCCTGCCTTTATAACACCCACGTGCATGGCACTTTGCACAGCGGCTGTCACCCAAGGCTGAGCACGCAATCACTTCTTTCTGTTTGCTCCTGTTGTTGTCGTGATTTATTAGGTACAAAGGCAGGAGACTGGCCCAGCACAAGTCGGAAATAGAGTGTTTCACCCCAAAAGGGAGTATGGGGAATGGTGGGAGAGCTACAATGACCAGGTAAGCAAAGAGCAAGTGGCCTTAGGGCAGTGTGGTATGTCTGTGAGCAAGAGGAGCATCTCTGGGAAAATGCCAGCCCAGATCCTCTATCTGTAATATCTGTGTAATCCATACAGTATGTCTGAAAAAAAAAAGTAAGAAAAGAAAAGAAAAGACTTGGCCACTGCTGATTTCTGTGTTCCATCTGACTGGAGGAAAAAAAAAAAAAGAGAGAGGAAAAAATACCCTGCACCATGTTCATTTGTCTGTGTTATGTTGTTGTAATATGGTGCTTTGAGTAGGAGAAACTTTAAACCTGACTTATTTAGCTGATAGAGCTGATGAAGAGAGACAACATTCAAACAGCCAGTAAACAGCTGTGGAATTCCTGTGGAGTAATGGTCCTGCTACTAAGAGCTGTATTAATAAATATCTTATCATGTATTTAATCAGAAGAGCTTTTAAGACAGTCAAGAAAAACAGATTGACAGAAATGTTTCTGGTATGAAACAAATGATTTTTTTCCAATAAAAATGTCTTGTGGGAAAGTGCTGAGCTCTGTCATGGGTTTAAGGAAAGGTTTCAAACCGATTTTAAATAAATTGAGAACATTTTTTTTCTATAACTTTCTCTATTTCATCTAATTTAGATATTTTTGTTTGATTTTGTTTTTGTCATCATATATTATACATCTCATCTCATTTTAAGTCTGGATAAATTTCTTAACGTTGGACTCTCTCCTAAGACAAAAAATTCATTTCTTCAGACATGTTCATAAATTAATAAACTCTATGTATCACAGTGGGTTGTAAATCTTTTAGGAAAAGGTAATCTAAATAGGCATTCTGTCAAGATGTTGGATTGTATTACAAGCTAGAACCTGTCTATTTACTACTTATTAAAAGATCTACTCAATCATTTTTGACCCCTCTAAATGTAACCTTAGAACACAAGCGCGTACCTTTATTTTTCCCAGGGGTTATATCACAGGTGGATTTTATCATTGCAGGAGGGTGCTCAGTGAAACGCTTTCACAGCATTATATGTCCCTTTCACTCATGCATGCAGCTAGCAACCTTAACATTGCCCTGTGGAGAATGCACTCTGGGAATTCTTACTATTCAAATAGTCAGGAGCATTCATTGCTGAGTGTTGTTCAAAATATATCAACATATATGGACATCATTTTTTCTCAGGGCAGATTCTGTTTCTTGTCTGTCTTGTTTGGACTTTTCTTTTTCTTTTTTTTCATTACTTTGTCTTCAGAAATAATTATTCCTCCTTTAAAAGCTATTTGGAGTCACTATAAGAGAGTTTTGAAGAAGAGGCAAGTACATGTAAATGTCAGACAACTGTATTTCATGCTATATTGTTCAACTCTGTATTCTCTTTTGGTTTTGCCCATTCATATATATACATCTGAAAAAACTCTTTTTTATATTTTATATCTTCACAGTGAAGAATCTGTTTGCATTCCAGAGTGTAATCGATCTGAGTCAAGTAGAGATGAGAAAGAGATCCCTGTTAAAGAGGATGCCTTAACAGTCAAAAAGACTGGAAACTGTGTCAGTCTAATGGTTCCACAACCAGACTGTCAGCCGCAAGACCTACTCAAACAGTTAAGAATATCTGGTGCTTAACAGAGAGTGGCATTGCATTTGATGGCTGTGTTTTGTTGTCTCCAGCCATAGTGTCCTGACTAGTGGTCTTGTCAAAGTCCATATACTAAGGAGAGGAGCCACTGAATGGCCTAGGAACTGCCCAAAGACAGTGTAAATGTTGCCAAAAGCAAAGCAGGTGTCATTCTTCTGCCCAGTAAAGTATCAAACCAGTGCTTAAATTCACTGTGAGGAAGTGCAGGTGGAAAAAAAAAAAGACAGATGCAGGACTATGGCCATATGTGAATCAGGAGAAGATCTCATAATCTTTTCTCATTTTCACTGCAGGGAAAATGAAGAGTTCCCTGGTACTGAACAAATCCTACTTATAGCATTTCAGCCTAAAAAAGTCTGTGTGATTTCAGCTGAACGGTGTTGTTCAAATCCCTTGTACAATTTTACTTTTATATTTCAACCTTCCCATAGATTTTTCTCATGTTGGGGCTTAACCATCACTGTTTATGTCTTGCAAATGGCTTGGGGTTTTTTAGGATGAAAAGTGGCATAAAACTGATATAACGGGTATAGCATATGATGCTTTAAAAGGTAATTTCTGATTAAGAGAAGTCACTATATTCTGTGTCATCTGTTGAACACTTCATATAGAAAAAATTAATTACAGAATTGAAGGCAGCATGCTGTCACTGTTAGGGTTCATCATTTAAATTACTGGTTTGATTAAACACAGCAAATAAGAAACTGATTAATAATTTTTATGAGTTATTTTTCTGCTGATAAATCCCATGTGCATAAATGCTTCTGCAGTTATTTCTTGCCTAGAGATAGTTCTCGGGCATGCCAGATGCCTGACATTCCTCCCACTCTATGTGCTTTGCAGAGGATGGAGTTCAAATCAACCCTTGTCTCTGGAAATAAATCTAAGATAGCTAACTTTTTTTTTTCTACTTTTGCACTGTCTGTGCTCCTGATGTCAGGGTGAGGAGGAAGTGGACATTTCCTATTTTTACTGATTCAATTGAAATCATTTAGCAAATTTTCATAAAGTCCGCTGAAACTAGTGAAGACTTCATGTCAGTAAGCAGTGTGGAAAGCATCTTAAAAATATGGCACCAAGAAGTAACACTGCCAGGTCCAAAAGAAGCCTTATTCTCTCCATCCCATGGATATGATGCTTCAGCAGCAACACACCCTGAGCTGCCTGAAGTGACATTTTTCTGATATAAAGTAAGACATAGAGCCAGCTGCCTTAATTAACAATCACAGAGAGGCCTCAGTGAGAGGGGAAAGAAGTTACATCTGGAATTAAAATCATATTTGCATTTTGGGTCAGGATAACAGGCCTCCTAAAAACACTTCGTTCAGACACCAGGCACTTCAATTCCCATTCGGAGCAGGCATGCTGCTGAATGAGCTGCGGGGATTACTGTCACTGGTGGCTGCGCTGGAGGTCATTGGCAAAATTTCTGTCTACCAGATCTTTGTTAGTTTGTAGCTTCTTTCATCCTTGTGGAGAGATGAAAGTCATTCACACAAATGTCAGCTGAGATTTTCAGAGCTCTTACCACGCTCAGATGCCTGCTGACTGCTAAAACTCCTGAGACCTGAGAATCTTGTCTCCAGTTATGAAAATGCCTGCAATGAATTGCTGCTGTTCTGGTTATATACATGCACACATATATACATATGTATGTATTTACAATATATGGTAGCTGGCAGTATAGGGAAGCGAAGTAAAGAGAGGTTATAGTTCTAGGAGCAATATGAGTAAATATCCTTACTGCTGTTGGCAAACCAAATCTTCTTGTTTGCAATTAATCTCAAAGGAGATTGTTTATGTTGTGAACTTAGGACAGGAAAAAATGAGCATTTGCCCTGTGTCATTCCTCTTTTGTGTTTAGTAGTTATTTATCTCTGCAGAACAAGCAGCATGAGAGTAATTTAAGCTGCACAACTTGAAAGATATATTGCTAGTTGGTTATTTATGTGTGGCAGATTTGCTCTCCGTCAGGGAGACAATTATATAGGCATGTAAATATTTCCTTATTACCTATTTAAAATGACAAAAAGTGCAATAACATAAAGAAACGATTACAGCAGAGGAACTGACCTAGTTTAGCTACTATGCCTAGTTTTAGCCAGTCAGCCAGGCTATCCTACAGAGGAGAAAGTGCGCACAGGTTTGTTAGAGCTTTATGAATCGACTGCTTGTTTCATTCCAGTGCCTTTAACACACTGTGAAGCATTCGAATTTTCACAAGGGTCAATAACTTGGGTCATTACAAGCAAAATTTTTATTGATCTGAGATTGACTCAAGTTACAAGACTAGAGAAACAAAAAACACTTGTTCTTGCACACATCACAGGCATATGCACAGACCTTCCTTATGAAGAGTCAATTTTTAATTGAATCTACAGACAGTACTCAAATCCTTTTCAGGCAGAATAATTATATCATTGAGTCCTTAATAAGGTTTCAGCAAAGGACTCTGAAAGGACAAAGGTTTCTTATCATTAATTTGAATAACAAGAGCTCTCCTCAGCATAAAGTTTTATGAACTGAATACAGAAATGTATCCTGCTTACCATATCCACTCTTTTCTGGCTGAAAAAAGAAAGAAGGAATTCTCTCTTAAGAGGAGAGTCCTTAATAAACAGGTTTGATCTTCATAACGTTGGAGCATGAACATTATATCAGCTACCTAAAAAAGAAACGAATATTGCTTCATGCAGTACAGTACTTTAGATATTGAAATATCTAAGCAGAAATTTACCTTCAAATTTAGCTCAAATTTGATCAAATATTCCAAAATATTCATGTCCACTCACACTTATAAATAAACTTTAATTAATTCTTTGTCATATTTATATCAGTATTAGTTGCATATATATCATATAGATCTTCAGCAAGATTATGTTTTCCAGAATATGTTTTCAAATCTAGAAACAAAACGCTGATATTGGTACAACTTTTGAATCTTAAGGACAGAGAACAAGAGTTTCCTTAAATTTTTCATTTAAAATTGTGTTCATCCCCTTCATAATCCAGTTTACACTAGCAAATAATACTAAATATGCAGCTATATATTCATAACTAATTTTCATAATTTATATTAAATATCATTAATATAATTATTAATATAATTATTGGTGTAAATATCATAATAAAATATCATGATATCGTTATAAATCATAATTTTAAACAGATTTGCATATTTCAGAGGAAAGATATTAACAGGTAAATAAGTGATGTATCCTCAAATTAGATATGTTTTCAGTAACTGTTTTGATATTAGTCATACATTCCTGCCTGCCTATTAAGGAGTCTTCATCAGAATTCATTTTAGCAGTTTCAGGTAATCCACAAGAACAGCACACTTGCTATAAAATGGGTTTTCAGCTACTCTGACAGTCAGTCCTTCTTTCTGTTTTCACTTCAGCATTTGGAAGAACCTCAAAAAACCCTATTGCTTTAAATGGCAGCTGGCTAAAGAAACCCTGATAACACTGTGCCTTGAACAACCTCATCAATAATCATACCACTGAGCAAGAAACTCTGGGAAGAAAGAAAAGAAAAAAGGACACAGTTATCTATTCTAGATAACAAATAAGGTTGTGTAAAAGGGTAAAAGGGAACATTTTCCTTACCACCGAAGTAGATAAAAAAGCAGTTAATAAGCATTAAGAATGTGGAATAAAGCCTTAGAGGCAAGTGACTTCTTTAAAGAGATGGAGTAAGGTAAGAAAATGAGGAACACATACAAACCGTTATTCTGTCAGCAACCGGACATTTGTAGAGGAAAGAATGGAAATACCAGTCTTCAAAAGCTCTCATTTACACCACTTTCATTCCTTATACTTATTATTGCATAGCAAGTCTATCAGGCTGCAAAAAGACCTAGCTATAAAGAATCAAAGCAGCTTTTAGTAAAGAGCCTGGAGAAATAATTAGTATGACTGGTTCTGAGGAAATCCCTTTTGTACATAAAACTGAACTTAATTAACCTGTAGTGAAAGGAAATGAAAATATGTGCCAATCTAAAGATTTTCTTTCAAAAAAAAAAAAAAAAAAAAAAGCTAAATAGCTTGTTAAGATTTCAGTTTGGAAATGATGCCACTGCTCTGAGTTTGTTCATCTTCAGATCTGACCTGCATACTGTTCTCCTCTACTTAGTGCAAAAGAGCAGAGCAGGATAAAAATATGTAACCTGCATTCAGTCAATCTTAGAAGTGAAGTTCCTTTAGGAGCTTGCAACTGTAATTTTGCTGCTCTCATCTGAGGGAGCTGAATCTGTTTCTAAAGTCCAAAGTATAAGTGATGTGAAGTTTCCCATCTCTCAAAAGGAAATGGCATACCTGGGCATAATAAATACAATTTTTTGATCATATTCCATTAACAGGCATCATAGTCTATATCGTTGATGTATCTTTCTTTTTAAATAGTGCACGCAGTGCCGTTTTTTGGTTAATTTGACAGAATAGCAATATACATTTAGAGTAGAATCTTGAAGTACCATCCCTGGAAAACTAACGATGCTCTTTTCATAGAGATGATAAATGATTGCACACTCAGTCCTGTGCTGTTTTTGCATTTGTGAGTAACATAGTAAGTGAGTACAACATGATAAAGTAGATGAGGCATTCCTAAAGTAACAATTCTAACTATTGCCAGACAAAATATGAGAATTTTTATTTTGGGGTTCATTTTTTATGCATTGATTGTTGCTTGCTTCCTACCAGTTTGTTACAACAAGAATTTTGCAATGAATAATGGTCAAATTCCCTCTCTTGTCTAAAATATACATCAAACAGCCACTGGGACTCCTTTATAGCCCCCGAATTTCCTTATGGCCACACATACGGTTTGATTACATTCAGGCACAGGGTAAAGGCAGTGAGTAATTGCATCAGCCAACAAAGAGTGACCCAAAACCAAAATGGGATTCAGAGATTCACAGGTTTCTTGGGGAAAATGTTTCTGTTTATGTTGGCAGGTCCCCCATGCTAATAGTCAACAGTTGGCATTTGTCTTGCCTTTGTAACAGGCAGGTAGGTCACAAATTCCTCTGAGTTAAGAACTTGGTGGGAGTAAAGGGATCCCACTGGTGGGACATGCAGGAACTGGAACTAACAACCCTCCTTTTCCCAGATCAAGGCTAAGAGTGTAAGTCCACTCAACAGGAGCAGGGAGGAGGTCTCATCATCATTATCATACCATAACTGGAGGCAAGATCTTGCCTCCCACAGAATCCAAATTCTGCTCTTGCATCTGGTAATGAATTCAGAACTCAGTGTGACCAAGGAGCCATGTTTCCCAAATAGCTCTTGGCACCCACAGAGTATCCCATTTGGTAAGAGGAGCACTACATCCTCAGAAGCATTCATTTTCCTCTGAAAGAGGCAACTAGTCCCAGCTCCTGCCCAGTCAGAACCACCTCTTCACATACACAGAGAAAGGCCATGGAGATGCACTAAGTCAAAATAATTTGTGCTACGGGCTAGATTTTGCTCTTCTGGCTTGATCTGTTAAATCCTCAGTTATCATGGAAGTATAGCAGAAAGAAGAGATTACTTTTAATAGCAAGGTACAAGACATTTATCCTCAGCTGTTCTATCTGGTATTTTGGGAGTAAACTCTGGATCTTCATGTTTGCACACAAAGGTAACTCATACAAAGTGCGTAGTGGTTATTTCTAGGATCCCCAGAACAGTATAAGGATAAGAGCAATAGCAAACCCTTATGCACTCCCAGTCTAGCCCTCTTAAAACACCTGGTGGCTTACGTTGTGTTTGTCGGCTGGCCTCTGTCACACTGCTTTTGAGGAGGAAAGATGTTGGTGCGTGTTGTGTTACGTGATCCATTGTAGTTCTGTGTAATGTGACCTTGGATGTGAACCCACAAGGTTTTGTTCATGCTCAGCAGGCTACCTTTTTTTTCGGTGACTGGAAGAGCTATCAAACTGATAGCATGCAGCGAGTCTCCTCACTGAGGCTGGGGTAAAGTCATCTGTGTTTAGTAAACTGTGTCTCTTGCAAACTGTTACACTGCAGGCCAGCATGTGTGAGTACAATTATTTCAGGCTTAAGAAGAAAAGAAATGAACATCAAATTTACGATACTTTGCCAGGGTGTTCAATATGCTTGTCTTTCCAAAAATCTAGATGGCTGTAGCAAATGTTTTGGCAACCAAAACGAATTGTTTAAAATTCTGTTGTATTATATATCTATAAATGATGCCTGTTCACATGTTTTTACTGTTGAAATCATTTCAGAGTCATTGTTTTTTTTTCATCTGAGAAATATTGCTAAATGGTCTTTCTTAATCCCAAGAACCAGTAAATGCATGTATGAGCACACATCAGCTTTAAAAGAGAAAAAAAGGAAAAGGGTGATTTTATACTGTGTGTATATAAGCTTTGCAGCCAGACTTTTTCTTAGGCAGTAAGAGTAGAAAAATAAGGAACTTTGCTAAAGAGCAAGTGGCAGGAGTTGTAGAGCTATGACACAGAGAGGACTCATTTTGGAGGAGTGTGGAACAAAATGTTTACTGTTCTCTTCAAGTGCAGGCCACATGGAGCAACTTGTTTAGCATTTCTTTCCTACTAGGAAGACAGTATTGTTCTCTGAGCTGACCTGCAATTAAAAAAAACCTTTAAGATAGTGGTGGCTAACTTGTATCTTGATAAGTATCTTGATTGAGATCAGCCATTACGAAAGTCTGCCCACCCAAAAGCAGTACCACCGCACTCTGAGCACTGCTGCAGTACTTACAGGTACTGTGCTATAAATTGATTCTTTTCCAGGCATAACACTACAATTTTCCTTCTCCTAGTTTTCACTCCCTGCACCACACCCAAAACCCATGGCCATCACCTTACACCACAGGTCCCTACCATCAAATGTCCCAAGGCTAACCCTCATATCGGCTCCCTGCAAACCAGCCAACCCAGAACTCTGACCCACTTACTTCACACATTTACCCTTTCCTCCCTCCTTCACAGACTTCTTAGTCCCACAACCTCCCTTCCTGATGCTGATCCTTCAGGAGGGAAACCACTAAGTTGCTCCCTCACAAGCACTGCCTATGACCCAAGTGGTCAGAGCAGCAACAGAGAGGTCAGCAGTGTCCATGAACTAACACAGAGCAGCTCATGATTTGTTCTACAAATGGCCCATGAAATGAGCCCACCATTCTTGCCTTCATTATAAGACTGATCTCTGGCTAAATTGGAAATAGACCACAAGCTCTGTTTGCCTGGGCACACCACCAGTTTTTTTGACTTAGCTGCCTTTGAGAAGCCATGTAACCACTGTGGGACAAAAATGTCCTTTGTGAAGCTGAGTCATCAGAGGAAATGGCCACCCTCTTATTATGCAAATGTCTATATCACGAGTGTCAGGATTCAGACTGATTTTTGCTTTTAATTTACTGAGGCACAAAGGCAGCACTTCTTCCAACCTCTTGTCAAAGCAACTAGACAGATAATGTGCTTAGGACTTCTAGGTCAGCAGCTACACTGACCAGCAGTTTAAAATGTTTCAGATATCCAGGCCAAATTTTGCTCATCATGGCATTGACCTACAGGTCAATGTGATATTGTGAAGACAAGCACCATTTGAACTACTTGCCTCGATGTACCTTTCACTTCATCAAGTTAGACATGAGTCTGTTTTGTGTTATTGGAACATCTAGATAGAGATGAAGTTGATATAGACAAGAATAGGCATTGATATATGTAGATAGATATAGGTACAGATAAAGATAAAAGGATAGATAAATATAGAGATAGAGATATATATCAGTTTTCTTATAAGTACAAGCACTAGATGCAAGATACTCATGGTATACATGAAGTGATTCTAGTTCTGACTTTGATGCAACTTAAGTTCCATCTTGTTTCTGTTTGCAGCTCTAATGGGAAATCCGTTTCCTGGGCCCAGAATGAGAAGAGCAGCCGAGGAGCACACCTTTGGCAGCGGTTGTCAATCCACATCAACAAAAAAGAGAACACCAATCAAACTGCAGTGATCAAGCCTTTTTCTAAAAGCACAGATAGTAGCCGACACAGTAGCAGTGCTACGATTCCTGAGACCAGTGCCAAAACGCTTTACGATGTTTCAGAAGCGGAAGAGCAATACCCAGCTCAGTATCGACCACAGACTCCCTCACCTATCAGCACCGTAAGTCACCGAACTGCCTCTGTCAGCCGAACAGAAGATGATGTCCCTACCTTCCAGACAGAGCATGCCCAGCGAAGTAGCTCCTCTCAAGGCTCTCTCATGGAGCAGATCAGCAGCGTGGTTACTCGCTTTACAGCCAATATCAGTGAGCTGAACTCTATGATGATGTCAACAACCACTCCAGGGGCCACTACTCTCTGCTCTTCATACCTGATCCCAAAGGAAATCCAGCTCCCTACAACAATGACCACGTTTGCAGAGATCCAACCACTTCCTGCCATTGAAGTCAATGGCGCTTCACAGTCAGTGAGGAAACCTTCAAGTGACAGTGTCAAAGAAGGCACCTCAGAGACCCCTACGGCAAAGCAAGACCTTGAGGAGTTGGTAGCTTTAACTCCTCCTTCTCCTTTTAGAGACTCCATTGACTCTGGAAGTGCATCTCCCAGCTCTCCAGTCTCTGAATCAGCTCTCTGTATCCCATCCTCCCCAAAGTATGACACACTCCTCATCAGAGATTATACTCAAAGTTCTTCTTCGCTGTGAATGTAGTTCAAGGCAACATTGGATCTCAACAGCTACAAACAAGTAGTGAGGGGACAGCCAAGCCTTCAAGATCTCCAGTGTTTATGCGGTTAGAGGAAGAGCTATTGGGTCATCTTGTGAGAAAAAAAGAGTAAGAAGCAGAATTACTTCATGAGTGGAAACATCAGAATTATGCTGTTTTAAGACAAAATTACTCTTGGCAGATTTTTGTGGCCTTAAAAAAACATGGGCTTTTCAGAAACACTGCATCTATTTTTGAGGGCTTATAAGGAGTCTGTTAAATCAGTTACATACCAAGTGCTTTGCTTTAATATTACAATGAACTGTGTGTACAATATATGGGGTGGGGGAAATAGATTGTAAACAACTGTACAATGGTTTGTTTGTTTACTCTGATTCCTTACCCAGAAGTGAACCATGATCTTTTATCAAGAATAGAAGACCAAACATTGAATGTACATTTTCTAACAAACAGACTCAAATCTGGGGACCAACCTATCAAGCTTTCTTTCTTTCCTTTTTTTTCTATGAAGATCTCAAAAACAGTAATGTATGTTCAAAAACAACCAAACTTTCTGCTGAAGCATATTGTGTCTGTGATACGTTATACGTGGAGAACACTAAGCTGAGGCTTTGCAGTGAGTGACTGCAATATGGAGGGCTTTACAAATGACTTCTCAACCTACACATTTATTTATGAAATTCTCTTCTATCACTATCAAAAAATCAATTTGTTAACATTGGATTCACCTTCACAGCAACAAAACCCAAGGAAGATTTCCTGACTATTTCACCACGTTGCCAACTAATAACGAAGTAGCAAAAAATATTTTCTGGAGTACTGTTTTGTAATTCCCTTATCAGGGCAAGTTATTGAGGTGAATATTCTCTTTCTAGCAGCACTACCAAGCTATATTATAGCTGTACTCCCTAATGAAATTAACACATTTTTATGGACGTTCTTAAGCTAACATTGCCAGTTAAAATACTTATCCAGCTCCTGTAATCTTTGCTTGTAAGGAACAGGTAAACACCCTAAGGATTTTCTCCTTTCTTTGAATGACAGAAATCTAAGAAATCAGTTTGGATTATGATGAATGTTAACTGTTAATAAAAAGATTGTCATAATCATAATTCATCGATAAGGAAAAAAGAACTGTGTTAAAATCTGCTTAGAGGTGGTTTAGCTACTCTTTAATAAGCAACAGTTTTATCTTTATTTAGCTGCTATGCCTTGCAGCTATGAACTGTGACAAAAAAAATTTCCAAAGCAATACAGAGTGAAGAGTAAAACAGAGAAGATTTAATAAGATTGAACCAATAGAGTCTTTCTTTGTTTTTTTAGCAGCTTCTGGAAGAGGCAAGGGGGTTATTGATATTTTTTTCTATATTGAAACAGTACAGTTCAGTGCACTTCATATCATCATGGCACTTTTTTAATACAGAGAAGGGATTCAGGTTTGAATAGAGACTAAATAATTTTTGATAGGTATAGTTACGTAGAACTCATAAATCAGGCCCTAAACGCACACCATATTGGCTCTCTCCTTCACGACATAGCTATCCTCAGGTGCCAAACTTTTGCAGATTTGTTTTGTTATATTTAAGGATAGTATGAAGTGATGATGATGTACTTCAGTTCAAAGCTGAGTTGATGCAGCCTTACACAGAAGACAGCCTTATGAAAGGGAGCCTTGAAATAAGGCTGCTGTTTTTCATTTTTTAACCCCCTAGATCTTATTTCTTCCAAGATTACAAACATGCCCCATTTTACTCTCCCATGTACCAAATAACATATATTTGATGAGAAAAAAAAAGGCAAAAAAAAGATGAAAGCACTTAGCAAGGAACATTTTCTATTCCTTTTGGAAGGTAGTTATTCAATAGCAGTGCATGGACACGTGTATTCTGCCAATACTGTCACTTACTAGCTATGCCTATAGCCTGAACCAACAGGTCATATGTCAGCTCTGTTCTGGAAGGCAGTTAGATACAGCAAGACATGACCATAAATCCTTGTTACTTTTGTGTCATTCCTGCCTCTTTGCAGGACTGATTAGCACAGCCTCAGTTCTGTGCAGATTTATGGTTTCCAAAGCAGAACTTGTTTTTGCCCTCCTTTACAGGACTAGGATGTCTCATGATTTGTTAGCTACTTGTGTCTATAGGAGAAAGCATCTTCTTTCACAGGTTACAACCCACATTTTAAGAAGAGCTGTGTACAGTCAGTATTTGTTACAAACATTCTCATTTAGAGACTTGCCCACTTGAAGGTTGTTCATGGAAGATCTATGTGATAATGTTTCCCATCAGTGTAATATTATTTTGATTTATTCAGAGAGTAGATAATTAGTATTCATTTCAAAGGGATTCTATTACTGTCAGCTTTCTTAAACTTTACGTCATTAACCAATCTCATTATTAAGTCCTTCTCCTAAGAGCTGTGGGCTTCACTGCACAGAGAAATAATCAACAGTAGAAATAACGGTTATACAGATAGACTTGAAAATATTATGTTGAAAGTGGATAAAAAGAAGTGTGGAGTAGAAACTATCACTATTCTGCATAAATACAACCCTTGGACTCCTAAACTGTGATTCTGCACAATCATAACTCTAGCTATTGCTGACTTACTGTCAAGATCATATGTGTGTGCTCACACACACACCTGCAAGCCTCAAATGGACAGCTGAATACATGTTTTAAGAGACTACCTAAATTTTAAACATTTCTTGGGTATTTTCACGCACGGGAAACGTATGACTCACAAGTCATGCATCTTGTACCTCCATCAGCCAGAATAAAAGTTTTACCTGCTCAAGGAAGTGCGAACTGACCCTGCTAAGATGGTACTTCTCTGGGTGAGCATCTGTAGTCTTGGATGAAAGAGAGGTCAGCCTTCACAGTAGGTAAAGAGGGCACAGGCTCATATGTGCTCATATTACCTTGCAAGATGTACTTGGATTGTATCAGAAGGAAGAAAGATTTAGGGGGAAAAATAACAATTATGTAATGATTGTAGCAGTAACTCAAAGGGCTTAGAATGAGTATAGTGAGAGATCTCCAGGACTGGAAAGTTCTCTGAAAGAAACCAATGTGTTTGATACAAGAAAGAAGAAAATTATAAATGGAAACATTATAATTTCATTATGTTGCTTGTGTGCTAGTCTCCTTTTTAGAACATTAAGTTATAAAGTTTGAGTTTTTTTGTTCCCAGTCTAACTAAAGAATGTGCAAGTCCTAAATGAACTGCTTGAAATTTCCTTCCAATTTAGTGCTGCTGCCAGAAAGGGAATTAAAGCAGTTGAAACTATTGTCATTCTTGGCCACAGGGACCTCAGAAAATCACTTGTCTCTTGTGCTCAAGGCTCAACCCTGAAGATGGAAGGTATAACCATCTTTGGAAGCTGTTCTTTTAAAATAAAAAGTGAACCATTCTAGCAGACCAGCTGGGGAGAAGAGCTAGTAAAACTAAAGAACTGATTTTTTAAATGGCTCTGGAGAATAATAGCATGACTTTGAAGATGTGCTTCCTCATCCTTCTATCTATACATTTGGTGCCTAGACATATGCAGATACCTTATACTGGAGATTCTTGGATCATTGTCCACTAAGCACTTGCTAATGTTTATGGAAGCTTGGCTGATCACAAAGTGCTGGTTTCTTCAAAACAGGATTAAAATGTTAATTACAAGTTAACTGTTAAAATAGCTAAAAGCATAAAAGCAAAAAAAAAAAAAAAAAAAAGGCAAAAAAAAAAAAAACCAACCTAGCTTGCTTGGATTCAGCTGCTGTGTTTTAAAATATATATATATATATTGTCATCAAAGTGGGAAAAGAGGAAATCCTAAGAGTGTAAAATAGGATGGTGAATCCATGATTGAGCCTGGATGATAGTGCAGTTCATCTAGGAATATTTCCTTTAGAGAGAGACTTTAAGGCTAGACCGAAAGAGATCATAGCTGCAGATGTAAACTCTGTAGAGGAAAGGGGCAACTTTGGCATTCTGATTAATAGATCAGTATTAGGTGAGCAGAAACAAAAAAGACAGAGACAGATACCAAACCAGAAATGTCAGTTCCTAAGGGAAAATAGAGCACTATGCTCAGGATTAATAATGAGGCCATAAAGTTTTCTTCTTTTGGAGTCCCATATCAGAGCTTACCCAAAAAAACAACTTTGGTGCATAAAGTTAGGACTTCAGCAGAATTAAATACAGACATTCAAAGCTTAATTATAAATCTTCCACTAAGTTAACACTTCACTTAGGCATCTAACATTACATCATTGTGTATGCTCATAACTGCCCTGAGTGTGACACATCTAAAGATCTGAGCATCTAACTCATGCTAAAGCCCATCAGGAATCCAGAAACAGAGGTTCCTACATTTAAAACCTTGTATATCCCATGAGTGAATACACAGAGCATACAGAACAGAAACTGACAATCATAGTCCCTAGAAAATAGAGAAGAAGCCATCCTTTGTTTTAAGACTATGGTTCTAGTTATACTGCTGTATTTTAGCATTTTTACATTTTTTCATGCAGCAAGTAAAAAACCTAAGTTCATGCCCTGCCATTGCCAGAGGTAGTGGAAATCTTCCTCCTGGGCAGGAAAGTGCTCTAAAGATTAGACAAATCCTCTGTTCATCTCAATATGGTAACTTCACAACACAGAAATGCAGTCAAGAGCCCCAGATGCAAAGAGTACAGTTACTCAGCACTTTGGTAGGAAATGATTATATGGCAAGATATGATATATGAACATTTGATTAAAAAATAACACTTTAAAAGTTACTGGGAGCAGGGACAAGGTGAATATTTGATCTCTGAAGATTGGAATTGTCATTTCTTCTGTTCTTGTGTGGTATCTATTGGCTAAAAAAAAAAGTTCCTGAAAAGTGCTTTAATGATGAGAGGATGTGCCCATTCTTACCTCTGTGTCTGTAATTACCTTGTCTTCCAACTGTAGTTCTCACCATTCTCCTTGGAAAAGGAGAGGCCAAGTCTTTTTGGGTTGATGGAGGAACTACTTGGTTTCTGAATTCTTTTCTGAGACCTCTGCTAAACTACTGTAGAAAAAAAAAACAAAAAGGGAACCTACTTCCTTTTCCTCCAGCGGCCTTTTGCAAAGGTAACTAGACTTTGAAACAAGAACTGTAGCCATCTGCAGGAACAAGTCCTAGACTTTGTATTTTCTATAAATTTCTTTTCCATTTTGACTTGAGTACACTAATATCAGACATCATTTTCCTTATTACATTGCCTTCCTCCTTCTCACACACTTCACGGTAATATCCTGGCCTTCAATTTAGAGGTAGATAGTAAGTTAGATATTGCATGTCATAACAGTAGAGTTAAGTCCTTTACTGGCACTGACCCTATTGAGTTCAATGAAATACTTTCAGATTTATATCCATATAAACAAAATCTAGGTTTGATGGTGGCCAAGCTTGTCATGATTTTGACTGCTTGACTCAGCAGGGAATGATAGAAAACAAGATGTCCGTTCCACTTTCTCTGAAGTCAAACAACGCATGCATAGACTCATTGTTGACGCAACTTTCTAGGCTTGTGGGATAGTACTTTCCTACCATTTTGCTGTATCCATGCTACTCTAGCAGATATTCCAATTGGAAAAATAGTACTTTGGCTGAGTGTGTCCAGGGATGTGAGATAATATATCCAAAAATAAGCTACAAGTCACAGTTCTACAGATTCATGAATCTCATAAGAGGAAGTCAATGCTCCCCATGAGCAAGGAAATCATTCATCTGCTATCCATCTCCATGTGTACTGCATATATGAAAGACTTTGGTTGAAATATCTGAGTTCTCCCTCTCTCCTTTTTTTTTTTTTTTTCGCTATAGTTTGGTATTACTCCCTCTATTCAAATCTACAAAATTATCACTTACATTTTTATGCTGTGAAAACAAAAAAGATATAGGTCAGTGAAGCATAAAGGTAAGTAAAAAAAATATATATTCTAGGTTACAAATTGGTGTATATTGCTGGTTTTGTCACATCTGAATAACAACAGTACAAACACTTAATAATCACTAAGTCGTTCTGATCTGCCAAATGGGAACAAATATACTATGTATATTATATGTACTAATAGGATTATATGGCAGCTGCTGGTGGTATTTGTAATTAGAAATCTATATAGATTATAGATGTTTTAGAGAGACGGTGCCAATTCTAAAAGATTTGTGTGGGCTACAAGTGCTTGCATTTTTTTTTTAATTTGCTAATAACTTAT